TCAGATTGGGCTTTGAAACTTCTGAAGGTCACTCAGTGTTTCCAATGTCACTCAACCCAGAAAACATGTGGGTGATCATATCTTCCCTGGACGCTAATCTCTTTGTTTGAGTGGGAAGTCAGTGATTTTAGTCTAATTGTTAACTGAGTGGAGAAAACATACACAGTCTCTTTGCCGATGAGGAAGTCCCTAAAGTGACCCTTTGCAGGCTCCATCTTCTACCCTCAGTGGGGAGCAACATGTGATCCAAATTAAGGAGGGTCTTTGTCTTCTACCATGGGGGTCTGCAGAGAGGTGCAGCATGGCTTCCTTCTGGAGGGAAGGAGAAGCAGATCCTCATAGCTTGGACCAAGGAAGGCAATCACTGACTCATTTGTCACCTTTGAAAAGGACATTTTCAGTGCAGTGAAACCACTGCCCGTGTGTGTTGATGCTCTCGTTTTAGTTTCCTGATTCTCAGAAATGCTAGGTTAAACCTGAGCCATCCTCTTAAAGAGAATTAAGATTTACATAGAGAAAGGTGATATTCCAGTGTGTATGGCCTTCAGTGGACAAATTTGCATCCAGCTGAGCAAGATGATATGTTTGTTACAAAGAATCTGTGCCCAGCCATTTTGCCATTTTTCTCTCATAATTTCCCTTTGCTTTTTTCATTAAATGTTCATTCATGCACTATATGGGGTATTAAGCTCTTAAGTAGTGAAACAGGTACTCCTAATTCTTGAATAATTTTAAATGCTTGTGTGTTCAGAGGGATGGCTCTTAATAGGTTTCTGACTAAAGAATGGCCTTGGAGCCAGGATTCAGGGTGTGAATCCTGCCCTCAGTAGTCACTGGGCTCCTGAACTTCAGGATGACTCTTCAGAGTTTCTAAGGATTTGTGAGTGTCTTGAAATGAGCATGAAGAATTGTACTATCTATTTTTCATCATTGGATGATGCAAAAGTACCTTATTGCAAGTAAAAATATAGTACAAATATAATGCATGGTGCTTTGATTCTCTGAAAGGTGTTTATATGGGAGACTGCCTTATAGATATATAACTTAATTGTGTACTTATGCGTGTGTGTGTGTGTGTGTACAAGCTTTCACCAACACGACAGCAGGGGACTTGGATGTTTTATAATATTACCCACATGATGGACAGGCTTGTTCATTTTGTGACTTAGCTGGATGCCTACTATATGCTTGGCATTTCTCTTGGTGCTGAAGATAAAATACATATGGCAGACAATATTTTGCCCTGTGGTGTTCACATTGTGGTGAGTGTGAGGTCTGGAGGAGAAACACAACAGACACAAACAAAGAAGATAGTTTAAGATCGTGCATGTGCTCTGAGGAGACAAAAACAAACGAGGCACCTGAGAGAATAGTGTTTGTGAGTCTGAGACACTGGGAATGTACCAGTCACACGAGGGCCCAGGAAAACTGCTCTAAGTGCAGGTGTGAAGACCTAGAAGTAGGAAAGGGCATGGAACATTTGAAAAAAAGAAAAGTGGGCAGAATGTTTGGAGTCTGAGCAGACGCAGAGAAGAAAATATAATTGGTGAGAGAGGCAGAAACCAGTTCAGGGTATGGAGCAGGCCATGGCAAGGCGTTAGACGTTCACCCTAATTGCTATTAGAGGCCATTCGCTGGTTTTAAGCATATTTTATATACTACTAAACATGAAAAGAACCCCAATATTTCTTCAAGAATCACATATTCTTAAAGAAATTAATTCTGCAACATCCAGAAATTAATTCTGCTTAAACCCTTAGGGGGCGCCAAAGGAAAACGTTTAAAGGAACTTTCAGCACCTGGAGTGAAAGGAGAGCGCTCCGGGTGTTCTTTCAGTCTTGTGAAAGGTGGTCAAGCCAGACAAGCAGCACTGAAAACAACCATTCCAAAGAGAAAGCTGAATGAGCTTGGCTTACATGCATCAGGACCTTAGTGTTCACAGCGGGGACTGTTTAGGATGGGGTGGGAATGGGAAGACTTTGGGGGTTATTTTTAATCTGCCATCTGGCAGTATTTGAGTAGAGTATAAAACAAATATGGAACCAAAATTTACTTTCTGGATTCATTTGGCAAGAAAAAGTATCTCTATACTTAGAGCTTAGAAAATATCCATCATTTGACACTTAGGATGTGTTATTCTAAATACTACTCCCAGCTTACTTGATGAAATCTCTTAGTAATGTCTACCAAGAAAGACTACTGCATACAAAGCAGTGGGTTATAATAAATGGAATTTTCTGCTTGTGGTCATATTGCTATGGTGTGTGGTAAAAAAACTCATAGTGAGTTAGAAGAAGAGGGGAGAAGAAAGAAGACGATGAGATGGGGGAGAGGAAAGAAAACCAAAAGAAGGAAAAAGATGCGCTGGTGTCTAAATCTATAATAAAGAAAATGCAAAGAGAGTGAGAAGGCTGGGATGTAGCCGCATGGGAAAGTGCTTGACTGGCATGTGTGGCTCTGTGGGTTCCATCCCTAGCAGCACTACTGCCGGCAAAAAAAAAAAAAAGTTTGGAAGACAGTAGATTATTTACATGTGCTGGTAGTTCAGATCTGCATTTATCCAGGATTGAGAAATAGTTAATACGTTGTATAATTTTATGGAATCCCAAACACAGATCTTCCCCCATTGGAAACTTTGTTATAACAGGATCATGGTGACTTTGAGAAAACCTATGTTCTTATCTTCAATAAGGCAAAGTACATCTGGTCAGCCCCGATGGAGGCTCTTATCTCCCTATCTCATGCCGGATGATCTCAGCCATGTACTTCACATACTTCATAAAGCACTGTAAAAGCAGCTGGTCAAATAAGTTACCTGAACAAGGGGGGACAGAAACATTACAAAAGAGACAGGACGTCAAATCCAGCTGAAGCCCTGACGTCAGTGATAGGTAAAGCAGTATCATGGTGATGATGATGAAAATAGCAGCAGTAATTGTCAGTGGTACTGTGCCTGTTTATTCTAAGAACCATGTATTCATACTGGACTACAGGCAGAGGGGTTTTAAACTTCTAACACAGAAGAAGTGACTGAGAGGCTAAGGACAGACCAGGTACATGCCAAGTAGCCTCCTGTCCAAGCACCTCACAAAAGCCTTCTCTCTGAGCACACTTCAGTTGACAAGTTTCTGTCCTTGTCCAGAAGCCCCTGAATTTACTGCCTTGCTACCTCCTGGACTTTTTGTAAAGAAAGCTCTAGGTTGCTAATTATCAATTAGATTTAATGAATTTAAACAATAGAGTCTTTGTCTACTCTCTCATCCAGAGATAAGGTGAACTTTGTTCACACAAAAACATCCACTTAATGAGAAAGGAGAATAAAAAAGGGGGAGAAGGGAGAAAGAGACTTAAAGAATGAGATTCCACCTAAATATTTCAAATCATGTACACCAAAGTGCTCCTCTCCACTAATGAAAACTTGCATTAATTCTGATAATCTGCCATCTTTCTAATCCCAAGTTTGATTTATTCAAAGCACTGAGGTTGGCTCTTCTGAGAGAAGATATGGTCCGTCCACAAGGCAATAAAAAACTCCCCAGTAAAACCTGTATGAGGACCATTCGAAGGACTGATGACAGAACATTTGTAGGTTACCCTCACGGGCAATTGGTCGCTTCTAGGACTGAGGCTCTGTGGCATGATGATACACTAATGGTCAACTCAGAGCCTCTTATGGCACCATGCTCTGACTCTTATGAGTTAACCTGTGAATGAATGGATCATTCTAAATCTGGACATTTCTTTTCCTCTTCTGTCTCCTTTTCCTGAGACTGCAGACTGTGTGGCAGAAAGAAGGCTTTCTCAGCTGATGTCAGACAATTACTCTCAGAATCGGATTGGAGGGGCAGAGTTGGTAGAAACTTTTAGAGGTCATTTAGTTCAACTTTCTCTAGGAAGGGAGAGACCAGGCCACGGACACACAAAGGTTCTTAGGTGTGAGGGGCAACAGCAGGCTGAGGGGCGGGGACTCACAGTCGCCCACCAACCCTACCTGCCTGGAAGCTATTTGTAAACAGCCCAGTGGGCGTCCAGAGGCGGGAGTTACCTGATTGATGGAAGTGACCGCCAGGCGGGGGATGACCACTTGGAGGGCCACCTGCAGCAGCGAAGTGCCCAGGCCGGCCAGGATGGCCCAAGTGAGAGGCAGCGGGAGCATGCTGTAGGTGGCGAAGAGCGTGAAGAGCACGTAGCCTATGCCGTCGCCCAGAAGCCCGTAGCCGAGGCCTGCTGCCAGGATCTGGGTGGTCATGGCCACCCAGGTGACCACGCCGCTGTACTGCAGGTACGTGTGCGAGGTGGTGTCTTTCCTGACCCCCACCAGGGCGCAGATCACCACCTCAATGCCAGTGAAGAAGCCCACAAGGATGCCCTTGAGCGGGTCCATGGGCGCCGAGGCCAAGCTCAGGTGGAGGACCAAGAGAGTGAGTTTGGTCAGCACATCCAGCACGTTCATCACCACCTCGGATTTGCGCCTCTGGCCCAGGAAATAGCGCTGGTAGAGGCGTTCCAGATCCCTGGACTTAAAGGAGTTGCGCAGGGTGGGGAAAATGACCCCCCTGTAGCTGTAGCCCCCACTGAGGAAGAAATCCGAGTTGCTCGGGGCACAATCCAGGTGCAGGAAGCCCAGGTCGCTCCCTCCTCCGCTCCCGCTCGCGCTGCCGCTGCCGCTGCGTTCCGGGAAGACTTTGGAGCCGCCGGTGCTGTGCGCTCGCTCCCCGGGGCCCAGCGCGTGGAGCGGCAGCTCGGAGTCGCAGGCCAGCTGCGGCGCGTGGTGGTTGGGGTCGCCGCCCGCGGGGTGCGAGGCTTTGCGGGAGCCCCCGCTCCCGCCGCCGCCGCCCCGGTGGCCGTGGAGGAAGCGCTGCTCCGTGATGTGCCGCACCGCAGTCTGCCACAGCAGCCGCTGGGGCCGGGAGCCGCTCCCGCCGCCGCCGGCCGAGGGCGTGGGCTGGATGGTGTAGAGTTCGTCGCTGCCGCCGAGGCAGCGCACCTCGGAGAGCTCCATGGCGCCAGGCCGCGGGAGGACGGAGGCGCGGGCCGAAGCCCGGAGGCGGCCTGGCGGGAGCTTGGCCGCGATCCCTGTGTCTTCGGCTGCCCGGCTGGGGAGACCTGGGCAGGGGACTCGCCGGTCAGGTCATAGTGCGCTCGGGGGAGAGGACTCCCGGAAGCTCGCGGTGGATCCCCGCGTCCCCGCGAGGCGCCCTCCCGCCACCCGCGCAGCTCGGGGTGCGCGGCGGCGGCGGCTGTTCGTCCGCAGAAGCCGCTGCTCTCCGCGCCTCGCAGCCCGCTGCCCGGACGCGGTCTCCGGGGCTGGTTCTGGGCTCAGCGTCCTGGCGCAGCCCGTGCTGCCCGAGAGGCGTTCGGGCGCCTGAGAGCCGAGCTCCTGCCCCGCGTCGGGCGGGTCCGGGCTGGGGCCCCGGGCTCCGGGCGCCCAGGGCTCGGCGGCTGCAGGGGCGCCGGCCGGGGGTGGCCGGCGGTGGCGCTGGGTGCGAAGTTAGCAGCTGTGGCTGGTGTCATAGCCCTTCGGAGAACTCCATCGCGCCAGGCTGGGGAGCAGGGGCGGAGCCGGGGGCGGGCCCGGAGGAGGAGGCGTGGGGACCCGGAGGTGGCCGGTGCCCGCGGGAGGCTGGGGAGGTGGCGGCCAAGGCGCTAACAGGTCACCGAGCGGTTAATTTGGAGGAAGCGGCTGGCTGAAGCTCCCTCCTTGCTCCTGCTCTGCTGTCGCCCCTCGCAGCGCGAGAACCGAGGGTGCCGCGCTGGCGCTGGCCTGGAGCAGCCCAGACGGGGCAGGAGGAGGGCGCCAGCTCCAGGTCCCCGCCTAGGCCGCGAGGGGGCAGAGCCTGCGGCTGTGCGGCGGGGCGATCAAAGCCCGCAGCTCCCATGCCCTTCTCTCCGCTCTTCGGAGAGCACTGGGCCCGGAGCGAGGAGCAGGAGCTGGGGAAAGAGAAAGTGGGGAGGGCTTCGAGGCCAGCGGCTCTGAGACGAAGAGAAGCCACGGGTGTGGATTCCCGAGGCTGAGGACCGACGCGCGGCGGGCGCCAGGTTTGGGAGGGAAGAGAGGCCCAGGCCGCGTGGAAGTCTGCGAGACGCCCCCGGACCCGCGGAAGCGCGGCGCGCAGTCCCGGCGCTCAGGAGCGCGCGGGGGAGCGGGACCCGGAGCGATTTGGGGACCCGTCAGCCCGGCGGGACCACGACGAACCAGCCCCGCCCCCGGAGCCCAGGCGGGGGGCGGGGCGGCTGCTGTCCCGGTGCTCCGGGTCTCGGGGGACGCCGCGCGCCCCGGCCGGAGTGGGAGGAGACCCCGGGGCTGGCGCGCGAGCGGGCCGGCGCCCCGGCCCTCGCTCCGCACCCCTCTCCCGCTCTCCCGCTTCCCGCGCGGGTGCTTTTCGGGTTCCGGCGCTTGTCCTTCGCAGGTACGGAGCCAGGACCTGCAGGCCGCTCTGACCACCGACTCCTAGACCTCAGAGGGGCGGAAAAGAGGGTCAGTTCTGCTCCCCCTCGGCCAGGGCCAGGGCTGCTTGTGCCAAAGCCAACTTTCTGGCTGCCCAGTCGCAGAGGAGCAGCCTCGGGCCGGAGTCTCTACTCCACCGGTGGATCGGACGAGGTGGAGGACGCGGGGAAGTGAAAGGGGCGCCCCCGCGCGCCTCGGTTTCTTCCTGCTCACAGCCGGAGTCAGGGGGGAGGACGTGGGAAAGGCGTTTCCAGGAGCCGCCAGCGGCTCCGGTTTCCCGCTCTCAGGCTCCGCCAGGCGGCCGCTGGCAAAGCCTGGGTGGCGCTCGGCTCGAGTCGGACCCGGGTGCAGACAGGCGCAGCGCGTGGTGCCCGCGCCAACACCTGGCGCAGAGAGGTCCCGGGGCCGGGCTGGCTGGGCGAGTGTGGCCGACGCAGGTGGCTGAGCCCTGGTGGCTCCAGCGTGGCCACTGGGACTGCGACTGCAGCCGGCGGAGCCCGGGCCCTGAGCAGTCAGCTGATGGCCGATGACGTCAGGCCCTGGGCGCTTTCGCTGCTCCCCCTGCGCCCCAGGAAAGCCCAAACGACCTTCTCACTTCGCCGCCCCTAGCCCCCCTGCCCCAGCCAGCTATTTTCTCTACTCTAGGGAAGACAAACTCCTTGCTCCTGTCTGCCCTGAGCTAGAATAGCTTTCAATGCAGATGCTCTCTCTTCAACCACACACAAGGCCGCCAGGGTTATGTGTGGCTGCAGTGTCCCAGAAACGAGTTTATTCTTTTCTTTTTAATTCTTTTCTACGTACAAGGGTCACTGTCTTGCTTAGAGAATCCCTCAACCAAGAGCAAAGGGTCCTCTAACATTACCCCCCATTAACCAGCAGATCTCTGGAATTTCATACATACTTTGAAAAAGATTTTTGAAAAATTCCAGCCCATTAAGGGTTGTATTCTATCATCTCTCAATAAAGAAAACAAATTTTAAACTCAATTTTAAATAGAAAGAAGGCCGATTCTATTTCTAATACAGTTTGTTGATAATCAGTCCCATGAGGCTACGAGTTAAGGGTAGAGCGCCTCAAAAATGTTTTGCTGCTTTGTAGGCCTAAATGAAATAACCCCAGCAATCACTTCAAGAGAAAAGCTGCTTGCGTCTCCTTTCCTGAATCCTGTGGTGGACTCATCCCAGATTGGTCAGAGAGTTGGGAACATTTTCTTGTAGACCCTGAGCAAGGGTGTGTAGGGGGCTGCATTCCCTCTTTTCTGGCACGGCTCAAAGTCACATTAGCAAAGTTGGCAGTTGAAAAACGCCTCTGTCATTCTCAATTCTTTCTCCTTGGGGAACCTGAGGATTCAGCCTGAATAAAGGAGGGGAGCTTTCCTACCAAAATCTTTCTCCACCCTGGAAGTATCCCAGGATGATTTATTCAGCAGCAAAAGGAGGCAGGACAAGGAGGGGGAGTTTGGACTCAATTAGATAAAATGATTCAGGCTGACAAATGAGTGCAGCACTGCAGGACAAAACTCTTAAGAATTACATGGATTCAGAGGTTGGAGCTAAGGCAACTAAGTGCCTCTGAGCATTCCTCTTGCTGCAAGGGCATAACCACGTTAAAAGAAGAACAAGAACGAGAAGATGAGATTCAAATGTTATTTTGTTGTTGGGATGACACTGTGCCATTCAGCCCTCTATAGCATTCTGCTTTTGAATGACAGCATCGGCTGAGCACAATTATTTTCCTCTTGGAATATGCTAACCACCAAATGATTTCCTATCACTTAAAACAGAAGAAGCCAACCCATTATGAAGAGGCTAAGATGGACTTTGATCATGCTGCCTTTCATTCCCTGCATATTTATGAAAACTGGGTTTGTGCTGTGATCCAGGAACGATAGTTTGGTGACATGGTGTCTTTTGGTGCACAATTTCCTTCTCTTGGGTCGACCTCCCTTCCTTCCCTCAAACATTACTGACCTCATCCTGCAAAGCCCAAGCAATATTGTCTCGGTGAAGCCTTCCATGACATCTCAAGTGAAAACTGATGACTTACTGCAGTGTCCATAATCTTTGGTTCTGGGAGCTTTAGTCCCTACTACAGGGACTGGCATGCCCCCTACGCTCAGTTGTCTGCCACTCTCCCCATGAAACAGTGAGTTCCTGGAGTGGCAGGAATGATTTTCCTGCCGCCCATATCCTCTGGCTTCTAACAACTGCAATAGAAGTAATAATAATAGGTGGGCAATAATCTTTCCAGCACCTATGAGATGTCTCTTAGTTTCTTTCATAGGCATCTCGTCAATCATCCCAGCATTTGTATGAGCTAGGTCTTTCTGTATTCTTATTCTTCCTGTTTTACTGACTAGGATACTGAGTAGTGAGACTTCCTGTGGTCTCCGTACCTTGGCCATCGTGGTTAGTGTGCAGCAAAATGCTACCAATTAAATTTGGGTTTTATAAATCTAGTTCCACATGCTTAAGGCAAATGCTATAATAAACAATCAATGACTAATTTTAATAGGACTGGTGGAAGTAAAAATGTCAAATGTATTTTGTCTTTCCAACAGCAAATTAAATAGAATCTTCTCACACTTTCCAACCTTGATAAATCTGCTGGGATGAGATTGAGTAGCAAATGAATATAGCAGAACTCATTCTTGATTGGATGGACTGTTTATTAATTTTGGCTCAGTTAAAGGGATAGATGTTACTTTTATAATTCTTGAAAAAGAAATTTTCACATATTGTATTTAACCAAAATAATTCACTTGGTAAACTTAATTTAATTTGGATGGTTGAGGTATGGGAAAATCATTTTATTCCCTCACTGGAAAATAACGTATTTGTTTTGTGAAGTTGCGGTATACATAGGCCACATTTGTGTTACTGTGCTTAAGAAAAGGACATCAATTTACTCCCAATTCACTCTTGACTCCCTAGGTTGGCTTATATTAATATATAAATTTAAATTTTATGAGTCCTTTGGAAAATGCCTGTAGAAACCCTGACACTTACTGAAGGCATAAAATATTCACATGTAAAAGAAAAGATGGACTGAGTTCAGGAAAGGGACCTGAAACCAGGGAGATCCTGTTTCCAAAGGGAAGGAGGGTGTTGGTGACCGGCAGCTTCCACAGTCAGAAATCCTTAAAGGAAAATGACATGCCTTCTATCCTGGACAGCAGGCATGGGGAATGCCAAGGGCATTGCCTGCTTTGACAAAAATCCGGCAAAGTCAATGTCTAGGGTAACTAGGGCTCATAGTGAAGGTCTATGGATGAAAACCTTTGCCATAAGGAAGCATAAATTTGAGTCATTTGTAGGAAGATGGATGGATTTTGAGACTATAAAACTAAATGAAATAAATGAGACAGAGAAAATTAAGTATCACATGATTTCTCCAATATGAGAGATCCAAAATATAAATAATTTAAAGAGCAAAACAAAAGAAAAATGATAAGAAACAGGGAAGTAAGCTCTGTAGAGGTGGGAAGGGGATCTGACAAAGGAGGGACAAGGGAGCATAAAGGGAATAACAATGATCAAGAGGCAATATATGTGTATATGTACCAATTCCCCAAGATTAATGTAATTATGTTTGCAAACATATTCTAATGAGAAAAGAAAAAATCTTTGTAGTCGCATTTCATCTGGAATGCAGTAGAATGCAAAGGGAAAAAACTAAAATGCCTATTTTCCTAGTATATTAATTCTGCCTTGAAAAATGGAGAAGAAATTTTTAGAGATTTTGAATCTTCACAGGAACTAGTTTAAATTAGATTCTGGTGCCTAGAAGGAGAAGAGCATCTCATCAGTGTGAAAACAATTCTGAGATAAGAAAGGCAGAACTCATGAGGCAGTCAGGTGAGTCTAAAGAAAGCTTCAAGGCAGATAGATTTACATATTTTCTTTTTCTTAAGACATTTTTCCCTTGTCTCTGGTTTAACTAGAGGATGAGCTAGCTAATTGTGATATAACTAAGATTTTGCTTATCAAAGTTCTAAAATAACAAGAACACACATGCTGGAAAATGACTAAGAAGCGTGTGAAAAGAAGTAGTAATGAAAAGTAGGAAAACACTAGTTCACCCATGTTAATAACTCTCTTGACTGTGGCCTAAGATCTACTTTTTAAATTTGACACACTTAGAAAGTTTTGGGGCAAAATTTGCAGACTCAGTGGGAAATGAAGCAGATACTCTTTAAAAAACTACCCAATTATTATTTTAATAGCATAAAAGCATTATGTTTTAAGATATTCTACCCTTTACTATTTTTGCCTTTGGTGTTTTTAGGCTTTATGTAGAATATTTAAGCTAACACTGTATAGATTACATTATAATGCAAATGTATATATATGTATTGATATATAGTTGCACGTGTGAACCTTATTTCATTCATTTAACTTCTTAAAATTAATGTATTTCTTTTCTACTCATTTGGTGAGGCATTTAACCCACTACCTGCCTGGGTTTTTATCTGTAGTCTTCTGATCCCAGGGAGATTCCATATGTATTAGTCACTTTCCTTGTTGCTGAACACAACACCCAATACCCACAACTTGAAGGAGAGGCTTAATTTGATTCAGTTTTAGGGAATTGTTCTGGCTCATGTTTAGATGTTCCCCAAAGCCTCATGCAGTCATAGGTGGAGCTTTTCAGAGGTGACTGGATCTAGGGTGTGTGATGCTGGGATTAAGTGTGTGATGCTGGGATAAAGGGTGTGTGATTTCTAAATTAGTCCACTGATTTGGCATAGTTCTTGGAGTGGGAAATGGGGAGGCTTTCTCTGTGTGTGAGTGCTATCTGCCCTACAGGCATGTAGCCTGGATAGAATATAAGGGGCAAATAGAGGGCTGCTGTGGTCACTTATCACTTGCTGCTTGCTACTTTGCTGCCTTCTGCCTGCCATGAACTCTTTCTCCTCTGAGATTCTCCTCTGCCGAGCCACCCTGCCTTGGAGCCAGCCAA